TCATACAATCACGTTTAAAGTAATGCTACTAAAAAAAAATATCGACATTTCAGAACCATGCCAACAATAGTGACGAGATGTCCATTTGAAAATCTTGATGGTGCTTATGTCCTGCCTCCTATCAAATACCCAGATGGTGAGATATATATATATATATATATATATATATATATATATATATATATATATATATATATAGTTTCCATACCTGAAAATATATTAATAGATCAGTAGATATAACTTTTTACAACCAATACTGAGTAGAGGAGATCCAAATGAGAGAAAAAAAAGAAACAGAAAATTAATCCATATGGCGATATATAAAGAAGAAGAAAAAAAACATTGAATGTGAAAAAGAAAAAAATAGTGCTTATATTACCTAACACTTTTAGTTGCAGAGGCAGTGCCATTAAGCAATTCTTTATTATATAGTGTTTATGTAGTGTTCTCTGGAAATAATCTTGATCAAAATGGATGCTCATTGTGAAATGATGAAAAAATGTAAATATGATATACATAAAAGATATATAAATAAATAAAGTTGTATATACATCTATATATATCTATATCTATATCTATATATCTATCTATCAATAAATGTTTGTGTATCTGTGTGTGTGTTTATGCATATGCATATGCATAAGTATAAGTATAGTATAAGTATGTGTATATGTATATATATATATACATACATACATATAGTTTAAATATATATATCATTTCTGTAGAAAACATTAGACGAGAATAAAATATAAGTATAAGTATAAGTGTATATTATATATATATATATATATATATATACATACATACATATAGTTTAAATATATATATCATTTCTGTAGAAAAGAGAAGACATTAGATGAGAATAAAATATTATAAGTATAAGTATAAGTGGATTATTCAACCTTTCAGATTGGAAATTATTTTATTTCTTGCTAAAAACTAGATTGATAAAAATTTTATTCAAATATACAACATGATGTTAGTAAAAGTGCATGGTATATGGCATCATGCTTTTATTTACCTTTAACTGATTCTGAGGATATCAACATGAAAATAATAGAATATTATGGGTTATTGTTATACCTGTAAATATCCATGTTATTGCACCATATTATACCTTTGCACTTAATTCTCCTTTTATTCTCAATGCAGGCCACTGGTATGTGAAGCTTGGTCATGGCAGGGTATATGAAGAGAAGATGAGAACGCTCTCAGAAGTGAGTGAGTGGTATGCCAAGCAGACAGGTATTCCAGAATGTGTTGATTGCTTGACACGATATATGAAATATATGCTACCAGGTGAGTATGTGAGGGAGTATTTTTGTTTGCAAGAGTTGTTTGTGTTTTTTATATGTGAGTATAGGTCAGATGTATCACTACAAACTGTTGATAGGTACATACAATAGATGATGTCCAAACAATATTTAGCCTAATTCTTAGTAGTTTTTAAAGTTATTAAGCTTTCTGGATAATAAGATCATGAGTAGTCAAATAGGATAATGAAAAATTGTGTAAGGACAATTTTACTTGTATCGATGGATTAAAAGTAAGACCAAGTGGAAAAATATTGAGGTGCCTGTAACCTGACCCTAAATTTTAAAATATTTTTATGTATTTTGAAGCAGATTCTGTGTCCAAGGCATAGTTTGACATAAATTATGTTATTTGGGGGTGTTATTATTTCAAATCAAAAAGACACTGACTTTGCTGAAATTAATTTATTTGTACTGACAATACCCTGGAAAAGTAAAAAAAAAAAAAAAAATAAAAAAAAAAATAATAATGGCTTACTGTTTACTGATAATACTTGTTGAGAGAGTAAGATCAAATCTGTTTATCAACCCAGTGTTCCTTCTTTATTTTATTGAAAACTAAACTTTTTTTTTAAACTTGGTCTTATATATTACATAGTTAATGAGAAATAGAGAGATAAAATTTCATTAGCAGTGGAAAAACATGAGCTAAGCTATGACTATGTACAACTTGTAATTTTAGTTTTACATTATACAATTTACAGGTAATTGTGAGGGAAAAAACATTTTTAATAACTTTTTTTTTCTTCCTCTATTTTAAGGTTTGAAAGTGGAAGAGGTGTCAGGAGATGGCTGCCTTACATCCCACACACCAAATAATGAGCCTTACATCGACCTTATAGCTCCTGGCTTTGGTGTTACTTTAGGGGGTAATGGTTATGCAGCCAAAGCCAGTGATGAAATCGGAAGACTTGCAGCTCGGCTTGTGCTGCTTGGAGAATGGAAGTCAGAAATACCAAAGGACAGAGTCAAAATGATTTGGAAGGCAGAAGCACATCTGTGATCCAATTTGATGGATGTAGATTTCATGATACTCTGAATGAGATTAAGTATTATTTTTTTCCCTTTTTAAGAATAATTAATCTTAAAAAGTTACTATTATTCAATTAATTTTCTAATTTGTTTCATATAGTTGGCATAGCATCTCTTAGGTACTTGTGCTACCTCATAACTATGCAAATGTTGGTCACTTGATTAATATTACATAATGTTTATGTAATGTACATAAAGTAAATAAATAAATAGTTTTGTTTCTTGTATTGTCGAAGTACTATCAGTATATTTAAGTTTAACCCATTATCTTGTTTTCTGTATATGGATGGGACCCAGGGGCAACTATATACTGTACATTACTAACAGTCTCCCATGCAAGAATAATAAAATGATAAATGGATTAAGAAGCTGTATCGTAGTAGAAATGGTTCTATGAAGATTCAATATCACAAAGTTGGCAACAAATACTAAATTACTGCAAAGGAGAAAAGTGAATAATGAATTACGTTACAGGTAAGTGTTAACTAAATATATTAAATGGTAATCATGCATAGCACTCTGCGACGTTAACATGAATATTGCAAAGGATGAATGATGGCAAGTATTATGGAACACTGATAAATTAGTCTTACCAACTGGCGAACGAATAGAATGACACAAGAGAGGGCCGGGAAATAAGCGAAACAAGATAATTGCAGTTACGACGAGAGTACCCGCGCCAGCCAAACCGACATGTCCGCTGGAAAATTGTCCATATATGGAATCTACGGAAGCAGCTTCTGAATACCCAGAGGGATGTGAGCTGGAACAAGCCCCAAAAACGCACGATATTCAGCCAGTTTGTTAAAGTTGTGGGAGGGCCGACCCTGTAAATATTCATATTTGCGGACATGCTATTCACAGAAATAATTGCATATATGTCTCTGTCCGGTAGATATACATGTCTAGACTGATAGCTATGTATTTATTTGTGTATAAGATGTATAAGATGAATATTTATTTGGTCGGGCCTCTGTATAATTTGGTCGACAATTTTAACAAACCGGTCGATTGTGTATGGATGACGAACTTTATTACAAGTTTCTTAAAAGTACTACAGGTACAAAGGCAAAAAGGAGAAGAATGACATGAATTCATCGAAGTGGTGTATCAGATATAGCTTCATACCGCGCACATGTACAGTACCAGTTATATCGAAAGTTAGTCAGATTACATTAATTAAACTTTAGGAAAGGGCATTCCTGAATAAATTGTTTCGGTAAGTGTTTGTCATTTCACCTCAAACGAATTTCAGCCTTTCAGTAGACATAATGGTATCTAGCATATATTTAGTGCAACGTATCATCCAGTCACAGTTGGCGAAGCTGAACATTTTTAGAAACATTCAAGAATAATATAAAATGTAGACAGGTCGCCAGTTCTACTAGTAAAACAATTCGTTTCTTAGGGTTCTTGTAGATAATTTTGCTACAAAACATAAATGCACACTGTTCACCTTTTTTATTGATAGGATAATCAGATTTTATGAAAAATGATTTTGTAAAAGATCAACAGTAACAAAGCTGGATCCAATCACATTTTAATGAAAACTATTAAGCAGTTGAATGAGGAGACAAATGGTAAGAGGTTAGGTACATTTAGTCATTTTTTGCATCATTAAAATGGCAATCAGCGAAAACTACCTTACTTGGATACTTAAGATTAGAAAAAAGGGAAAATAACCAAAATTCGTTAGGTAATCATTTATTTTATATTCGCAAGTCAAAAAACCAGTTAAAAACCAATGGCCAAAGCATATTGTAGTTCTTGAAGGTTATAACGAAGCAAATGTGAAGAATCCGTTACACCTACTGCTACTCAGCCTTCTTATACAAGGAATCAGCGAAGGGACTTTCCTTCCAGAATGCCAAAAGGAAAGTTAATTAATATTTTTCTGATGACTACATGACTGATTAACACCATTACAAGAAAAAAATGAATTACTCATATCCACATAGAGAGAGAGAGAGAGAGAGAGAGAGAGAGAGAGAGAGAGAGAGAGAGAGAGAGAGAGAGAGAGAGAGAGAGAGAGAGAGAGAGAGAGAGAGAGAGAGGGGGGGGGGGGGTTACAGGACAAACACCTCCAGGAACGTTAGTTCTTTCGGATTTGCGTAATGTTACAACACTCGTTGGTTTTAAACGAATTATAAGTACATTGTGATATGACTTTACTATTCTATAATATAGTCCATGTGCTTTAAAATTATTATCATAATTGTTCATTTTTGCCACACGTGGCTTTGAGCATGACTTCACCCAAAACCATTAAGTAATTTTGAAGTTCATTTTGATCATGACCATGTAACAGCTCAACAAAGAACATTTGACATTATCGCATTTGGTTTTTAAACATTTATATGTTTTTAGATATAAATAAGAAACATATTTGAATTGTGTTTGTGTGTTTTATCCCACCATCATTCTTGTAAATTAAATGAATTTAAATGAAAAGAAAAAAACACGATTACGGAACCACCAGTATCAATAGCAAAGTACAATATTTAAATAAATAAATAAATAAATAAATAAATAATAATATATATATATATATATATATATATATATATATATATATATATATATATATATATATATATATATATATATACACACACACAGATATACATATATATGTGTATACGTACATATAGACATACATGCATATGTTTATATTTTTTCGTAAGAAGCACAATTGTATGTACTCGATCGTACTTACCCACTTCACTAAAGTTGATCAAAAATACACACGCTCTCACACACACCTGTATATATATATATATATATATATATATATATATATATATATATATATATATATATATATATATATATATATATATATATATATATATATATATATATATATATATACATGTATATATGTATATTATATATGTTTATATGTTGCACTAGCGTGGGCCAGTATAATTACTATGGTGATGCCTCCAAGAAGCATAACTTCACAATGGGTCTGTTGAGCACCCCAAAACTAGTCTATACTCGTGCTTTTCTCTCGAGACCATCTTCACCGGCTATTGGATCTATCACCCTTCCTAATTCCCATTGGACAGGGCCTCCCTTGTAAATTCCGAGATGGTTTCAGCTGCCTCTGTCTCAGTCTCACCATCGATCTGGGTGGCAGCTCGATCATTGTGCAACCACCGTGAGTGCCTTCTTCCACAACCCTTACTGTCGCAGGGGTTTTGCCTTACAATCTCTCGCTATATGGTTGTCCTTAAGGCATATGAAGCATCTTTTCTGCACTGCCCACTGCTACTACACATCTGCGTTGTTCAGGGCTTGACTTGAATACGGGACACAAGACAATGCGATGAGAATCCGCACACAGGCGATATTCCTCACCTCGTTTCCAAGGCCCGACATTCGTTTTTGTGGCTAGCCCCACGCCCATGGTTTGCCGTCTTGTTGCAGACTTGAGCGCACGACTGGGTGCGACATCCATGATCTCTTCTGCTTGGTTTGGTCTTGCATTATCAAACTGGTCACTAAAATATGCTTGAGGATTGTGCATAATTCTGCTGCGTGCGGCATCCATTTCCTTCTGTAGGAATTCCTAAAGATTCTTTAACCGGGGAATTTTCGATTGCCTTTTGCCAGTCCAGATTGCATGCCACTTGGATTGAAGCCTGCCATCCCGTCTGTCCACCACTCTTCTGACCACCTGTGGGTTATCGATATAGCTCAGTTTTCCAATTTTCTTCGCAAAATGAATATTTGATGACAGAGTAAGGTACACCTCTGAGAGGACCTCGAAGTCACCCTCCTTCACGTGTGGCCCATTTGTTAACTGAGAGCAGTAACACACCACACCCCCTTTATCCTTTATGTAATCGCGCGAGCAATTCCCGTAGAGTTTTGTAAAGCGATGATTCGCAGGATCCCTTCGACTCGCACTGCTCTACTTCAACTGCCTGTATCCGGCATGGATGTGGCAGATTATGCCGCCTTTCAGCAACCGGAATCCCCATGTGTGTTTAACAGTGGCCGCTGAAGAACACCTATGACCACCAGTAGGTATTAGTGACTGATAGCACTGCGCAGTACTAGCTTAAGGTCTATTCAACAGCGGTTAACCTGAAGAATACATTGACAAATTACATCTAATAGGATACTTCCTTACGTTATCAGCAAAGGACATGCCGTCATATTTATCTATTACACAAACACAATATTCACAGCAGGGTAATAGCAACTTATGCGAGATCATATGATTAAGAACTTCTTTTAGGCCCTATAAGATACATACACACTGCGGGGACAGTCAGTCTATCAGCTCCAGTATGTATTATTGTGGGCGTCTTGACTGCGCAATGCTTCTTCTCCAACTGCCCACGCACTTCGAACGTACATCAGCTACAACTACATGACACATTCTGTTTCACATGCAAACATTAGCTAGGTCGCACTCCCACTCTCTCACAGTTCGTTACTCATATAGAGCTCTCATCTGTCCCTTATGTCCGATAGTTATAAGGGTTGGGGTTTGTGGCGCGACCTTTCGCACAAACACGTTTGACAGGTCAGCTCTCATGGCGATATGGACCACAATGTTTGACCTGGTGGCACTTCCCGAGGCCTTCCCAACCGCTGTGACACGGTCGGTGAATGTTTTCCATGTGGCCTCCTCGCTGACGGTATGGCAGAATATTTAATGTACAAAGTATGTGATACACTTGCCGCTGATATTTGAAATATGCGATGAATTAGCGGCTAAACACACACACGCATGAATAGATATAGATGTATATGTATATGTAATGTATATATATATATATATATATATATATATATATATATATTTATATATACATACATACATACATATATATACATATATATTACATATATATATACATAATATATATATATATATATATTTATTTATATGTATACACATGTATATACAATACATATATATATAGTATATATTATTTTTATTATTATTTTTAAATATATATAAACATAATATATATAGATATATATAATAAAACATACATATATATATATATATATATATAATATATATATGTGCAATATATATAATATATATATATATATATATAGATATATATATATATATTATATATATATATATATATATATATATATATATTATACAAATATACATGTA